TGACAACACCACCTTTGTAGTGGGGCTGCTGAGGGCAGCCAGGAAGGCCTGGTTTTCAGTCCTGGCTCCCGCTGTGTCTGACCTGGGGCTGCTCTCTGCTCCTGTCTGGGACTCAGCTTCCTTATCCATAAACTGGTGATGGTAATGCCCACCCCACAGAGCTGCTGAGAAGATTAAATGAGGCCACAAGTGTCCAATGAAAGAGGGCGTTTCCTCCCTGCGCACCCACATCCCATTTGTCCCATCCCCAAGCGATTCCCCCAGCAAGAACCTGTACTAACAAGCCTAGGCACAGGGCTGAACACTGGGGAAAATGTGTCCATTGAGTGAGCCAGCACCCATAATGTGCAGGTCACCATGCTTAGCTGGGTAGAAAGGACTCATGCCATAAAGTCAGAGATGGGCCAGTACTGGGAGAGATGGAGCCCAGGGCATGGTAAGTTGTCTGGGGACTGGAGAGGACAGGGAAGGGCTTCCTAGACCAGACCATGGAGCAGCAAATGGACCCTGGAAGGGGGGTGTGGGAGGTGGGGCAGGAAGGAAGCAGTAACAGGTGGGAGATAAGTGCTGACAGTGTGATGATCTGCAGTGGGCTGGAGGGGGTATAGCATCAGCCCTAAGGGAGGAGAAGATGGATTCAAGGGTAGGGCACTTCAGGGTAGCTGTCTGTGCAAGTGGTGGTCATCGGCTGACAGAGGAAGGCAGCCTAAGTGGGGAAACTGCACAAATAAAGGCATAGAGTTGTGAGGAAGATGAGGGGACCAGTCAGGCAGGGGCCAAGGTGCTTATCATGCTGGGGTTGGAGAAGCAGCCAGATATGAGCAGGACTGGAGTGCCAAGACCTAGCTTCTCAGCCTTGCAGCTCCTGTGGGCACATGGTAGCATTCAAGGATGGTTCAAGACTGAGTGGCTATCAGGGCAGAAGAGTGGGAGTGACCAGAACCTGCTTCTACCCTGTCACTGAGACTCCCAATCCTCAGGACCCAGGTAGTGGCTACTCCACCCACCTGTGGCACCCCCTGGTCCAGATCAGCCAATGCCTCTGGGTACATGGGGCCTTCCCTACCTGCTTGCCCCGAGCTGAGAGGCCAGAGTCACCTCCAATGCGGCCTCTGAGGTTGAGTTCACTCTCACCATGCCGGCATAGGTAGATGGAGCGGGGTGTGACGTGGATGTTCATAAGATAGTATACTGTGCGGCTCTGGATGTGGTCCTGCACTCGGTTCACCATGTAGCGTGTGCCCACGTCGAAGATCTTGATGTAGGACAGGTGGCTGGGCCAGTCCAAGCAAGAGCAAGGGCAGTTCAGGGGCTGATGGTGGAAAGGCTAGTCCCAAGAGAAACCCCAACTACACACCCTGCCTTCAAGCTTCCTCCACAACCCAGCTTTCACCTACCTTTTCTCTAACAAGATGCCATGCCTTTTCTTATTCTAGGTACCGTTTCAGAAACTTGTTTCCTGGCCACCTTCAGAAGCTTACTGCCTGCTACCATCTCCCTCTGTATTCTTTTCTCAGTCTCAACTTGAGCCAGGTTGCCTTTTCACCTTCACTTATCACACTCCAGGCATTTGGGCTTCTGTCTTCTGTGGTTCACACTCCTGACATACTTGGAGAGAAGCAGTAATCCTCTGTGTCTCTGGATACCTCCAACATCTCCCCAGCAGTTCCAAACCTGTCCACTCCCTCACCATTTCAAATCATGAGCTGAGCTCTGCTTCTCTGTTCTTTGAATCTCCGCTGTGATATATTGTAATTGACACTCTATAGGCAGTTACTGGATTGTGTCTGTGTGTGCTGTGTCTCTGTGTGTATGTATCTTTCCTTACTCAGAAAGTGGAGTGAGTTAGATTCTTTCCCTATCGGCCAAGCAGTCAACAAACATACCCTTGTCTGTTCTAAGCATTGTGCTTGGGAGTTCTTAGGCCAGTTAGGAATATATTCTTAGAAATGCATGACCAATGCTCAGCACCCATTCCACAAACATACTCTAAGGTGTGCCATGTGCTGGGCATGGGAAGACAGATGTGGTTCACAACATCAGTGGGGAACTTGTGGTCCTTGCTTAGAGCCACTTTTCAGTCTCCTCAATTCTTTGTCATGAACTAATAACTATACGCAGAATGATAATCAAATTATTCAACAACCTGTTTGCAGAGGAGCTCTAAATGGGGGACTTTGACTAATCAAGACTAGAACCATGGAGCAAGACTTTGAGGCATCTGCTGTGCCAGGCACTAACTCCTAAGTTGTTTTATTATAAGGAGTTCAGGGTGATCCCTGGAAAGAGGTGGGGGAGGCTGGGGCAATGGGGTGACACACTAGCAGCCCTGTGTGCACAGGAACAAAACCAAGTGAATAGAAATGGCTGCAGGTAAGGCGGTGAGCGATGGGTTTGGTTTCAGAAAGCCTCTCTGGTTTTCCTAAAGAAGGCCTTTCTATCTGCATCATACTCAGCATGCCCTTTCCTGTCATTCATGTCCAATGGTCCCATAGGGCATTCATATTTGCTGAACATTTTGGGAGCTTCTGGCAGGGAATGCAGACTTCAAAGTGCATGAATCCTCATAACAATCATAGGAAGCAGAGATTATTATCTCTGTTTTATGGGTGAGGAAACTGAAACAGAGAGAAGGAAGTGATTTGCCTAAGGTCAACCTCTCCAAGGACTGTCAGAGCTTAAGGGTAGAAAATATATGATGTAGCATTGTTGTCTGGTTACGGTCTGTTCCTGACACTAGATTCTTGGTGGCTCTAGAATTTCCAAATTCCTCAGCTTAGTCTGACATTCTCGGTGCCTTCACACACTGGTCCCATTTGGCCTCGCCTCACTGTTCCAGGCCCATGCTCACAACTTCTGTTTTACTCTAGCCTTTATGCTTTTTCTGGGTGATTCTCTGTATTCCTCTACTCTTATTCAGATTTAACTAGGCCATTATGAAGTGCTATTCTCTTTGCTTGAAAATGTGTTCGTTGCCTGGTCTCCAAAGTTGAGCCCCTACGCATCCATCCTTCTAGGGCCAGTACATTCACTCTCTCTAGGAAGACTTCTTTGAGCCCAGACATGTGAAGTCACTTAGAAGTGTTTCACACAAAAAAGTATTACCATAGCTAATACTCTACCCTACCACATATAATTTAAAATAAAAATCATAATCTATATTATAAGGAGGTTCTACCAAGTTCTGGTTTTATTTTTACTATTTTGACTACCTCAATGCTGGAAATATAAAATATTTCAAGATCATTTTCTTCTTATTTTTGGTAGCGTCTTCCTTATTGGTGCCCTAAACACATGTCTAGTCTACCTAACTGGGTAAACTTGCTCTTCTAGACCTCTTCCTCCAAGATGAGCTGGGTCTTCTCTTCTGTGTTCCTCCAGCCCACTTGTTTGATCATCCCCGCTATTCTGATCAACTGCATACTCATTGTCTTCCCCAACCAAATGGTCATTGTATCAGAGCAGGAGCAGGGACAGACCTTCGCTCTTTGGGTTCCTAGGGCAGAGCTTAGGGCTGGGCCCTGAGGCAGGGACTATAAATGTCTGTTCATGGAAAAATGATTAAAGTCAACCGTGATACTCAAACTGATTCATCAAACACTAACTGAGCACCTGCAGGAATATAGGTTGAAGGCTAGAAGGCTAGGGGCTTTCTCAATGCCACTCTTTCACCTCAGCTCCTCTCCTTCAAATTTCTTTCACCATAGGCTGCTAGCCCCTATGCTGCCTGTGGAAACTGGAAAAACTTACACTTTCCTCAGGGCAGAAACAGCCCCACTCCAGCACATACGCCTTGCTGAGAAAAGTAAGTATACCCTTGACCTAAAGATCCTTGCACAGTGAACAATCTTCACAATTGTACCCAAGGTCCTGCCCCTTGCACTGTATGTCTAAGCTTCATGTGACACTTTTTATGACTTAGGGATGTGAGAAGGGAAGAACCAGGCTGGAAGTTTGGAGATAAGCATTTGAGTATGTATTCTCCTCAGATAAGCCCTTGCCCTGCTCTGGGTCTCTCTTTCCCTATCTGAGGAGTGAGGTAGTAACAATGCTCACCTCTTAGGACTTCAGTTAGACAGGGTTAGAAAGATGTTCTTGAAACTTCTTGGGGTAGTATTTAGCTTGAAACCTCCTTACCCCTCTCACTTGGATTACAAAGAGTCTGAGTGACTCTGAAAGTCTCTTCTCATCACAACCCATTTTGAAAAAGAGCAGGGCTCTGGGAACAACCTATGTCAAAAACTTTCATCTTCCCTGTACTGACAGCTAACACCTCTCCCATCTTTATCTGGTATTAGGAATAAAAGTTTCAAATTTTTCATGTGTCTTCCCATGTTTCAAGACACTATGGAAGCTACCTGAGAATAGAACCCACCTCTCTTGCTCTTATTTACACTCCCTATGTACACCACAGCCTGGAGGGACCAACTACTTATTGATTGAAGAGGTATACATGGGCATTGTAAGAAGAGACATGGCTAGGAGACAGAATATGTGGTTAGAATCCTAGCTTTAATGGTGGGAGCTTGGGCAAGCAGTTTTAGCTCTCTAAGACTCAATTTCTTCTTCTTGAAAATTTATGATCATAAGACCTATTTTAGTGCCCTTTACAGGGGATTTAATGAAACAAAGAAGGTGAACATGTTTGGAATCTGAAATGCTATCCATGAGTAAAGAATACTTTTCAAAAAATAATAGCAACAAAGACAGGAGGAACTATAAATATAAATGTCTGTCCACGCCCTCCCACCAGAGATCAGGTCCCCGATATGTCCATATTGCTCAGGAAAACACTACTTCAATCCTCTTGTGAACACCTTGCACATCAATGAATCACCACCTCATTGATAATTAGAACTAGGAGGGTCCTTGAATACAAATCAAGTCCAGCTTCCTGATGTTACAGATAGAGGAGCTGAGTGAGGTCCAGAGAGGGAAGAAATGTCCCTAGGTCCTACAGCATATTGAAACAGGACTAAGCATTCAGACCTGGACTGTGGAGTTCTGGGCTCTTACCTGTCCAGTTCATCATCCAGGGGTTGGTAATTGAGCTCATAGCATTCAATTCTTTTTAGAAAGTCTTCCAGAACCTTTTCTCGGTCACAGTCTATGTAATCAGGGCTGCCGAGTTTCACTTGCTGGGAGAAGAGAGAAGGACAGAGGGACCGTGGAAGACAGAGACTCTGACAGGGCCCTTGGGAAGGGCCCTTAGAGATCATTGAGTAAAACATCCCTCATAATAAAGATGGCAAAATTGGGAGTTGGAGAAAGGGTCTTGCTCAAGTTTATAACATGAGTCAGTGGAAGAAAACCTGGACTGTGTGACTCTTCATTACTTATATCTCTATGTGGCCAAACAAGGTCTGTTGCATTATATTCAGTTCTAGAACGCACTGCTTAAAAAGAACATTTATAAGAGGCCTGGAGATTGTGCCATGAGAAATGGTTGAAGAACAGGAGATATTGGCCAGGGGTCACAATAGCTTACATGTATTGAGTGTTTCTTGGGAGAATATGGTATGTTTGCTTTAGGGCTGGCATCTCCAATTCTCTCAATACCTACCTTCTCCACCCATCTCAGTGAATGGCACTATCATCCACTCAGTCAACTGAGCCTAAAAGGCAACTGGGAGTCATCCTAGATGTGTCCCTTTCTAACATTCCCCTCCTCTCAGCAGGCACAAAATCCTCTCCACTATATCTTATAAATATCTCTTCAATTGGCCTGCATTTTCTTTTGCCTGAATGTTCATGATAGCTTTGTGACTGATCACTCTGTCTAAAATCTTGTTACTTCTGCCCAGCCGGTGTGACTCAGTGGTTGAGCGTCGACCTATGAACCAGGAGGTCATGGTTCTATTCCGGGTCAGGGCACATGCTCAGGTTGTGGGTTCAGTCCCCAGTAGGGGATGTGCAGGAGGCAGCTGATCAATGATTCTCTCTCATCATTGATGTTTCTATCGCTCTCTCCCTCTCCCTTCCTCTCTGAAATCAATAAAAATATATAAAATAAAATCTTGTTATTTCTGATGCATTTCCCATACTAATAGCCAGAAGGATATTTCTAACATGCACATCTGACCATGGAATTCCCTTGTTTAAGACCTTTCATCATTTCTCATATACTTTAGGACAAAGTATGAAATATTTTAGCGGGTGACTTATGGTTTATCATGATTGGGCCTGAAATGATTTTTTCATCTTCATCTATTACTCCCCTATTCCTCTGCACACTTTGCTTTAGCCAACCTAAGCAACTTACAGTATCAAATACATGATATTCCCTTATTTCCTATTCTTTGCCTGCCAAGTTCCTATGCATTCTTCAAGATGCAGGTCAGCTATTACCTTCATTGAGAAGCCTTCCTGATGCACCCTACCCCTCCCATTCAAGGTTAGGTCCTCAACACTCTGTTTCCACAGCCTCCTTTATTCCCTCATCTTAGCATTGATAGCACCGAATTATGCCTATAAACTTGTCAGTCTTTCTCACTAGACTGTGAGCACAAGAGCAAGATTCTTCTCTATCCATTTCTATGTCTCTAATACCCAGAATGGTCCAGCACAGGTGTATGGATTCATTTTCTGTTGAATCAATAAATGGATGGATAGATGGATAAAGAGGAAAGAGAGGGATTGGGCATGTTCTGTGCCTGAGAGGCAAAAATAGGACCAGTTGAATGGAAATTACAAGGAGGCAGATTTCAGCTTGATTGGACTGCACTTGATGAAGGTGATGAGCTTCTTGTCACTGGAGGAATGAGGAAAAAGTCTAGACATTCACCTGAGATTTCAAGTATCTGATGGAGGGTTGAAGATGACTTCTAAGGTCTCTTTTGTCCCCGAACTCCAGTAATTTGATGAAATGAGGAACAATACAATATGGGAAGTGATCTAGCTCTAGACCACATGCCTAGAATCTAAAAGCAGTGATAGCTCTGCTGTGAATCGTGGGGCAGGATAAAGAGCTTTTGAGGCAGATAGCCAAGTCTGAGGTCCAGTCCCAGTTCTACCTCTTTTTGACTGTATAAACCCTTGACAAGTCACTTTTCTTGGAACCTCAGTTTCTTGTTTCCAACACTGAAATGATTCCTAACATGCAGGGTTGTTGTGAAAAATCAACGAGAGTAAAGTTTGGAGCCTGGTGCATATTAATAACTCTATATATGTTGGCCTCATTTAATTTCATAGGAAAGTTGTAGGCCACAGTTGTCATGGAATGCTTCCTGTAGGAAGTGGGAAGAGAATCTTGGGGAAGAATACCTCCTTTGATCCTATAGAGGTAATTTTAGGCATGATCCAAGCCTGAAGCAAAGTAAGGAGGAAAGCTAACTGGGGCTCCTTACCTTGATGTTTTCTGCAATGATACCAGGGTCATTACAGATGGACTCAATGAAAAACACCTATAAGAGAAACAGAAGAGAGATTTCCAGCAGGGAATTATGTTTGATAGGAGCATGACCCCTTCTCAATGGCTCTGATTCATCACTGGGGGCATCTCTGACAACATAATTTCATTCAGTGGTGCTTTTAAGAATTCAGATTTTTATGGGGCAGATGGGCTCTAAATTGAATGGCTCCAGATTATTACTTTGTATTTTTACTGTTTTTTTAAAACGTGGGATCCTAGAAGTAATGTCTACAAAATAAATCAGGCTCTTAGAAAGACAATGTTCCAAGAGGGATAGACAACCTTTTGTAAGTAGCATGCTACGGTGGTGATGGGGATTTAGCTCACCTGAAACCATTTCACCTGAAATCAATTCTCCTGATGCCAATTCATCTAATTAATTCATGATCATTTTCTTTCTCCTTCCTTCCTTTCTTTCTTTCTTTCTTTCTTTCTTTCTTTCTTTCTTTCTTTCTTTCTTTCTTCTTTCTTTCTTTTTTTTCCAAAGAAAACTTTTAAAAATTCCCCTTCACCTTTTACACCCAGATCTCCTCTGGCAATCAAATTTGTTCTCTGTATCTATGGGTCTGTTTCTGTTTTACTTATTCATTTGTGTGTGTTTTTTAGATTCTATAAATAAGTGAAATCATATGGTATTCATCTTTTTTGTCTGACTTATTTCACTTAGTACAATACCCTCTAGGTATATCCATGTTGTTGGAAATGGTAATTTTCATTCTTTTAATTGCTAAGTAATATTCCATTGTGTGTGTGTATATATATATATGTGTGTGTGTATGTATATATACATCCTTCTTGGAGCACTATTTCTTTCTAAGAACCTAATTGTTCTCCATATACCATATCTTCTTTATTCATCTATTGGTGGACACATAGGTTACCTTCATATCTTGGCTATTGTAAATAATGCTGCAATAAACATAGTGGTGCATATATCTTTAATTAGTGTTTTTTATCTTCTTTGAATAAAAAACCAGAAGTAGTATTTCTGGGGCATATGGCAATTCTGTTTTTAATTTTTTGAGGAATCTCCATACTGTTTTCCACAGTGGCTGCACCAATTTACATTCCCACCCACAATGCATGAGGGTTCACTTTTCTCCACATTCTCACCAACACTTGTTATTTGTTGGCTTTAAAAATTTTTAAATTGATTTTTCAGAGAGAGGAAGGAAGGGAGTGAGAAACATTAATATGAGAGAGAAACATCGATCAGTTACCTGCCCCAACTGGGGACCAAACCTGCAACCTCGATATGTGCCCTGACTGGGAATCAAACCTGCCACCTTTTGGTGTATGGGATGATGCTCCAACTAACTGAGCCACGTGGCCAGGGCTTGTTGACTTATTGATGATAGCCATTCTGACTGGCATGAGGTGGTATTCACTGTGGTTTTGATGTTTAGTGATGTTGAGCATCTTTTCTTATGTCTATCAGTCATCTGTATGTCTCCTATGGAGAAATATATATTCAGGTCTGCTTCCCATTTTTAATTGGATTTTTTTGTTTTCTTAATATTGAGTTGTATGAATTTCTTATATTTTGGATATTAACCCCTTATCAAGTATATCACAAATAGCTTCTCTCATTCGGTAGATTTTTCCCCCCGTTTTTGTTCATGGTTTCCTTTGCTGTGTTTACTGGCTTTTAGTTCTTATATATGTGTTTTGTAGTGGTTCTCTCTCCACTTTCCTCACCCCCCCACCCCCACAGTGTCAGCCTATCAGCCATCATTTTCATTGCCTAACGTGGCACCTCTCCTTTCCCGTTCTGTTCTGTTTTGCTGCTTCTAACCATGATCTGGATAGCTATCTCAACCAAATTAAAATGTTGAGCCTATGGTAGCTGATTTGGCACCGATGAGTCCTCTGGTTTGCCTTTCTTTGGAGTTTGTGCTGGATCAGTAGGCTCTAGATAAGAGTGGCAGTGTTACCGTACCTTGTAACCATGTTCCTTGGCAAACTGCAAAATCAGTGACCGTCGTTCTCTGGTAGTGTTGGTGGCATCAAAAACCTAGAGGCACATGATGAGATTGGTTTACTATGAGTCTGGTGCTGATAGAACGCCTACTCTTTGAGCATCCCTGTGTTTAGCCAAGTGGAGTGCTACCAGGAGGAGATAGAACTTGGACGGGGTGACGAACAAAGGAAAGATTTGGAATTGGCTTGTGTCAATTTCTCAAGGACTTATTGAGTCCTAATGTCTCTCCGGAAATGTAGCAGGCTTTGTAAGTCTAATAAGACAAGAAAAAAAAATTGTGGGGTTTTAAAAAATATATATTTTTACCAATTTCAGAGAGGAAGTGAGAGGGAGAGAGACACAGAAACATCAATGGTGAGAGAGAACCATTGACCGGCAGCCTCCTGCAACGTGGGCATGTGCCCTGACCAGGAATTGAACCATGACCTTCTGGCTCACAGGTCAATGCTCAACCACTGAGCCATGCTGGCCAAGAAAAAAGTGTGGGGTTTTATTAGGGTCATTATACAGGTGAAGTAGCTGAGCCTTTGAGGAAGGATTTGCCTTAACCAAGGTCACCAAGAGTTGCTGACAGAGCAGAATTAGAACTGATTTCTCATCTCCTAGGTGAGGCTTCTTCCTTCCTTATCACCCTGGAGCGCTTTAAGAACAGGAAACAACTCTCCAGCACCTTAGATGGGACAGTTTGCATATTTGAGGATCTTTTCCCCTTTTAGAATTTGCAAATCCTATCTCAAAAGCCTGAGATTAAACTGACTAAAATGTTTAAGAAATCTCAGAACTAAAAAATGTTTTACTGTAGTTTAAATTGTAGTGTAGTGCTGCTAAATTCCTGGGAGTGGTGTGGGAGGTATGGTAGTTAACTGTAGATTCAGGAGCGACACAACCTGGATTACAGTTCTGTCCTGCCACATACATACTATGCCATTTTTGGAAATTATTTAATCTGTGTGTCATTCTTCTGGGATATAAAATGGGGTATAATATCTATCTCGAAGTACCTAGAATAACGTGTGGAACACAGTGAATGCTCAATATACATATTATCTGTTCTCCATCCCAGCAGAAACCCTAGGGAACAATACAAATTTCTTTACCGCAACGTGGCCCTCCTCACGGCTGAGATAATCATGAACATCCTTCAGGGCTGCCAGAGCACACCGCCTGTAAAAGGAGAAAGAAACAAACAAGACCCATCCTCAAGATTGGTTCCTCTCCATTTTTCTGCAGTATCTTTTGCACCATCTCTCAGATGTCCTAGATTAAATTATTCACCTATTAAACATCTACACAAGGTGTCCTATCTTCTAGGCACCATGGCAAGCACAGAGATGTCACACAGGGGAAAGTGGCATGCCCAGGAAAATACTGAATGACAGAAGCCATACTATTAAAGGCTCCATCCCTTGAGTTAATAGAGCTCAAACTGAACTGCTTCTTGAACCCAGTTAGAGGCTGAGTGTATGGTCTGTGAAGGAGAAGGCATTCCTGATATGGATACCAGTGTAAGCACATGTATGGCATTGGCAATGTATTTATGGTTTTGGTAAAAATCTATTTAAAGATTACTCTTTTCAAGGTTCTATTATGAAGGCATAAATCAATAAGTGAGACACAGGCTCTTTTCTGTAAGTGCTCAGTCTTGTAGAGGAGAGAGACCTTGAGGTTGAATGGATGTGATTGGAGAGATTGGAATATGCCAAGCTATTGAGACTCTTGTCTCAAATATTAGCCTGAAAAGTTTCCATTCTTTCCTGTCAGAAGTAGGAGACTGTTTAAAGTTTTTAAGCAGGGGATAGCTATGACCAGAAACAGGTTGAAGTTAATATGGTAGATGGGCTGTCCAAACCACCCTTTGAGAGTCTAGAGGGCCTCCTTGCTAACCCTAGTGGTTCTGCCCTAGTCCCCCATCACCTGAACAAAGCCCTCCCTCAGCCAGGGAGCAGCGCAGGTCCCTAAAATGTTAGATACTTACTTCCTGATAAGTAGGGCCTCCATGTTGTCTGGAAGAAAGAATTCGTAGTTCTTGTAGCTAACTGCCTCTCGTCGATACTGGCCTAAATTAAACACTGAAAGCAGGGAACACTGGTGAAGAGTTTGGGAAGATCTCAGTAGCAAAAACATGTCCTTGCTGGGAGGGAATTTAGGGGTAGAAGAAGGTATAATTTGTTGCTATATAATATGCGTATAAAGCTTTAAATTTTGTCTACCAGATTTATTGTTCACAACAATCCTGCAAAGTGGGAATCACCATTTCCATTTTACAAATGAGGAAACTGAAGTTCAGAGATGGTAAGTAACTTTCATAGTTAATTAGTGGGGAACTGGAATTTAAACTCAGAGCTGTTTGATTCCAAAGCTGGTGGTCTTTCCACAATTTTAGTTTATCATAAACTCCAACCCTTTTCACGCTCTACTCCATTGGAAAGATAAAGAAACTGAGGTCCAGTGAGTAAAATCAATCACCAAGAGTCAAACAGTGAGTCAGAACTAGTTTGGGCTTTCTGAATCGTAGTCCAATGTTATTACATCTTTCTGTATCCTGACAGAGAAACTAAATTTAAGCCCTCTCTAAGTCCATATTTCTCATTTGTAATGGTAAAAAAACAGAGGAGGGAAGGAAAGGAAAGGGGATATAGGCAATAAGGTAAAGTAACCTTTCATGCATTCAACTAATACATTTTTTCTGATGCCCACTCTGTGAAGAAGGACATGACTTCTGGGGTCTCAGAGATGAACCATATTTGTGTGATGAGGCTCTCAAAGTCCTCAGAATCCAGCAGACAGGACAGAGAACAAATCAGTAAACAGAGCTCCCATCTAGTGTGTCAAGTGCTCTGACAGAGCCATGCAAAAAAGTAAGGGGAAAGGAAAGACTAATTAACTTTGGGTGATCTGAGGCTTCTTGGAGAAAGCAGCATTTGAATTAATCCTTTCAGGGGGGCAGGCCTTTTATGGGCCAACATGGGAGATGGGGGCGGGGGAACAAAGTCAATTCCAGGTAGAGGAACAGCTTGGGCAAAGGTAGGGCATTGGCAGAAAGCAGAGCATGTTTGGGGGATGGTGACTGAGGCCTGAGAGACTTGTAGGGGCTGACTGTAGAAGTCCTTGAACAATAGGCTAAGGAGCTTGGAGTTAAGACCCATCCACCACTGTGTTATGTGCCTCCTACGCTCAGGAGAGGCTCCTGTGAGCCTGCAGGTCTCCAGGAGAACTGTTCCTTCTGTCCTCTGTTCTGCGAATGTCCTACTTCTCCTACAGGACTCAGCTCAAATATAACCTATCTGGAAGCTTTCACTGCCTTCCTGTTGGTAATTTCCTCTGTGAGCCCCCTCAATACCATGATCTGGGATTCCTAGGTGACATGAAGTACTCTTATGCATCACAACCACATGGAGAACTCTTCAAAGACAGGGTGCGAATCATATCCATTTTTGCATCTCCAATGCCTAGCATGGGTTTGGCATATGGAAAAGCATTGGGAAACTCTTCACTAGTGAATTAGAGAAAGCGCATTAAGGGAAAGAAGAAATGGGAGGAAGAGAGGAGGAGACTCGGTGGTGGGGGGGAGGGTTGGGAATGGGGCAGATAAATAAGGGTGTTGGGATGAGCAAGAGAAAGGAGAGGAAAAGAGTGGAGGAAGGGAGGGTACAGGGCCAATGTGGGATTCTTTTCTCTTCCCATCAGTAGAGCCAAGTACGAGCCCTGGTACAGTGAGTGTCAGGCTTTGGAATCACGTAAATGTGGGTTCATATCCTGGTTCTGTCACTTATTGGCCATGTGCCCTTAGACAAGACAATTCACCTCCCAGGCATTAATTTTATCAACTGTGAAATGATGATAACAGTTCCTCCTTCCTGGGTGTTTTAGAACTGTGAGTTCTGTGAGGACAGACATCCTGACTTACTTGTCTTTGTTTGCCCAACATCCAAACAAATAATTAATGCTTGAGTGAATAAATGAATGCCTCAGAGAACTGTTTTCTGCACTGGAGAGTAGTGTGCTCCATTTCACTAGAGAAGTCTAACTACTTGCCTAGTGCACACATAAAGGAGGAACATGGCCCAATAAAAATGTTCAGCTATGTTGATATTCTTTATAAGTACCGTGCGCTAACCGATTGCGCCACTGGAGCTCCAATGTTGATATTCTTTAAAAGCATCAGCATAGTCATCAGGGAATAAATAAAAACCTTTGGTAGACTTCTTTACATTTACTGTTTGTATTCTGAATTGCATATGATGTGGGGGCACCCTATCTTTTGGTGTTTAGTTTTAGTCTTGTCATACTCGAGAGACAATCTAGTCCCTTGCCCCCCAGAGCAGGTCCAGGGGAGAGAGACCCAGGCACACGCTACAACAACACACTATGTAATTAGTGTTGGCATACAGGGGGCTGTGGTAAGGGTTTGTGGGGAGCTCAGAGGAGCATGGTCTTGCAAAAATGGAGCTCCTTGAGGAAAGATATTTAATCTTACTAGTTTTCCTGTCTAGCGCCTAGCCTGGGGTAGGGTACAGAGTATGTGCTCAAGAAATTTTAAATTTTATAACAGTATAGTGGTAGTAGTAGTAGTAATAGCAGTAGTAGTAGCAGTAATAGTCCACATACTATTAATAACTGAGATTTTCCTGGTACTGAGGCATACTACCTTACTCTGTTTTCAGCCAGTAGCCTGTAGGGGGCTGTATAACAAAAGGTTTCAGAGACTTACCTTTAGTTGGTGTTCCTATCCAGTTCAGATATCGGGTGAGCTTCGTAGAGATGTAAGTCTTTCCTCGAGCTGGTAAACCCACCATAATCACCATTGTGGGGGAATTGGTAAACTGGGGTATGGTTGCTGGAAGACAAACAGACCCTCAAAAACTTGTCTCCAGGTTCATATGATCTTCTAGTATCAACTCAGGGATGCAGAATTTTATAACTATATAAAAATCCCTGGAAATTGCAAATTGACTTCTCTTGACTTAATCAGAAAACTGAGATTGTGGTGCAAACATCTAACCTAAAATCTGGAGAGACAAGCTTCTTCAGGGACAGTATCCAGATCATTGTTTATCTTTCATAGATACTACTGAACAACATATAAACTCATAAGAAATTCAGCTAAACATGGTTAAGGAATTGCTAAATGTTAGCTGTGGGCTAGTGTAAGATGTGAAGACCCTGGGGGCTGTAGACATAGGTGGTTTTGCATCTTCTTGTAGACTTTTCCTTTAGGAATTCCACTAAGTGCTGACACGGAAGACTGAGAAGAATCCTGAGAAAGATATTTTATTCTGGCTTGGGAAGGGAAACAAAACAGCAACTATTGCTGAAAATTTTCCCCAGACCATTCTCTCTACATACCCTATGGTAGAAAAAAGCCCTAATCATCACAGGGTAAAGACAATAAAACTGTAGCTTGAGAGCACAAGAAAAGGAGGGAGCATTCCCAACTACTTTTATGAAGCCAGAGTAACCCTGGCCTCTGGTAATCAGAGGTACTAGATATACCAAAACAAGACTAATAGAATGCCAAAAAAAAGCCCTAGAGTCCAGTATCTCTCATAAACTAAAATATAAAATATCCTCATGAAAATATTGTAAAATAGAATCCAACATCACATAAAAAGAATCATAGTGGAATTCTGTCTAGGTATGTAAGATTAGATGAATGTTCAAAAAAGTCCATCAACATAATCCATGATATTAACAAACTAAAGAAGAAAAATATATCAATTCATGAAGAAAACCACTTCATAAACACCCATTAATGATAAAATGTACGGCAAGTTAAGAATAGAGGTGAATTACTTAAACTTGATAAGGGACCTCTACAACAAAAACCTACCATTGTTGTTACCCTTGAAAGTGAAAGCCTGAACGCTTTTCCCATAAGATTAGAAACAATGAAAGGATGTCCACTCTACACTCTTTTGACATAGTACTGAAAATTCTAACCAGTGCAATGAAGCAGTAAAAGGAAATAAAGGGCATATGATTTGAAAAAGAATCAATAAAATATTCCATATATGTAGATGTCATGATTATATACATAGAAATTCCTCCAAACTATAAAATACCTTAGAACTAGGAAGTGAATTCAGCATGGTTGCAGGATACAAGGTCAATGCACAAAAATCAATTGTGAGACTTTCACTTCCATCATTAGGAGCTCCATGTACCTACTCCCCCAGTGAAACAAGCAAAGCTGGCAAATATGAAAACAAAAATAGGGCAATCAGTTAGTAAGTAATAGAGCCTAGAGCAGCGGTTCTCAACCTGTGGGTCGCAACCCCATTAGCGGTCGAATGACCCTTTCACAGGGGTCACCTAAGACCACCCTGCATATCAGATATTTACATTACGATTCATAACAGTAGCAACATTACAGTTATGAAGTAGCAACGAAAATAATTTTATGGTTGGGTCACAACATGAGGAACTGTATTTAAAGGGCCAGAAGGTTGAGAACCACTGGCCTAGAGCATAATAGCAGTTGAGACTGACAGCCTAATAGACAGATCAGGGAAATAGATAGTCAACGTGAGCCCAAAAGCTCCAGGAGCAACACCACAGGGAAATAGACTTAATTAAAATAGCCTAACCAAGTCCCAGAGCAAAGAGTTATATAGATATGCATTGCTCAATAGTGGGGACATGTTCTGAGCAGTGTCATTAGCCAATTTTATCATTGTGTGAACATCATAGATTTCACTTACACAAACCTAGATGGTATAGCCTTCTACACACCCAGGCCATATGGTATAGTCTATTGCTCCCAGGCTGCAAACCTATACAGCACGTTACTGTACTGAATAGTATAGGCACTTATGCCCCAATGGTAAGTATTTGAGCATCTAGACATAGAAAAGAAACATATGAAGAAATTTACTCAAAATGGATCAAAGACCTAAATATAAGAGCTAAAACCATACAACTCAGAAGAAAACCTGGGCATAACTCTTTGTGACTTTGGATTAGATGTTTTCAGGGATATAAAACCTAAAGCAAATGCAACAAAAGAAGCAATAGGTAGGTGTCAAGACAGTCTCTTCAATAAATGGTGCTGGGAAAACTGGTCAGATACATGCAAAAAAATGAAACTAGATCATTAACTTACACCATACACAAAAATAAACTCAAAATGGTTAAAGGACTTAAATGCAAGATGGGAAACCATAAAAATTTTAGAAGACTCCATAGGCAGCAAAATATCAGACATATGTTGTAGCAATATGTTTACCAATATAGCTCCTAGGGCAGGGGTGGGCAACCCCTGGCACGCGTGCCAAACATGAAATGCCAGTAACTTTTGCTGGCACGCGAAACCCTCTCTTATAATCTTCCATTTACAATTTTTTTCTTAATATCGACTTTTTATTTTTCAGATAATTCAGTGTAGGTGCATCTTAGATAAATAAATAATTTTACATAACAAGTTATCTTAAAGACCATAGACATGGATTGACAAGAGAGGGGAAGACCAATTTCTATACCTCTGCCTTAACTCTCCCTGCCTTCCTAGATCCGACCAGTGTTTTGGTTTTATCCACATATGCTTGTGAATCTTTGTTCTCAGTGATGAATTTTGTTAAGTCTCGTAATAGGAGTAGCCTGACGGATGAAAGTAGTAGCTCGTGCATATCTCCAAAGGTCACGAAATATAAACCTGATATAAAATCTCTGTCATCAGTGATGCAGCAGCAAAAGTCCCACTGATAATATCAAACGGAGTCATAAAGTTTTCTGTCAGACTATCAGTGTACATGTATACATTAAAAAATAAATGTATTTTTCATCATCATATACTGTGTTTTTGTTGCTTGAATGAATTTTATTATTTCTTCAAGGTTCTTCACATACGTACACCTTAAGAGATATCAAGTAGGCGTAACATGTTCTCAAAAAATTAGGGTTGGCACGCAGAAGAATTTTGAGTCAGAGATTTTGCTGGTTTTGGCATGCACTCACAAAAAGGTTGCCCACCCCTGTCCTAGGGCAATGGAGACTAAGGAGAAAATAAACAAATGGGACTACATCAAAATAAAAAACTTCTGCACAGCAAAAGAAACCATCAACAAAACAACAAGAAAGCCCACTGCATGGGAGAACACATTTGCCAATGTTATCTCTGATAAGGGTTTAATCTCCAAAATTTAAAGGGAACTCATACAATTTAACAAAAGGAAGATAAACAATCCAATCAAAAAATGGGCAAAGGACTTAAATAGACACTTTTCGAAAGAGGACATACAGAAGGCCAAGAGACATATGAAAACATGCTCAAAATCACTAATTATCCAAGAGATGCAAATCAAAACAACAATGAGGTATTATCTCACATCTGTCAGAATGGCTATCATCAACAAATCAACAAATAACAAGTGCTAGTGAGGATGTGGAGAGAAAGGAATCCTTGTGCACTGCTGGTGGGAATGCAGACTGGTGCAGCCACTGTAGAAAACAGTATGAGGTTTCCTCAAAAAACTAAAAATGGAACTCCCATTTGACCCCGTGATCCCACTTCTAGGAATATATCCCAAGAAACCAGAAACACCAATCAGAAAGGATATAGGCACCCCTATGTTCATAGCAGCACAATTCACCATAGCTAAGATTTGGAAACAGCCTAAGTGCCCATCAGCAGATGAGTGGATTAGAAAACAGTGGTACATCTACACAGTGGAATACTACGCTGCTATAAAAAATAAGGAACTTTTATCATTTGCAACAACATGGATGGACCTGGAAAGCATTATGCTAAACGAAATAAGCCAGTTGGAGAAAGATAAATATCACATGATCTTACTCATATGTGGGATATATGAACAACATAAACTGATGAACAAAAATAGATCCAGAGACTAAGAAACACTGAACGGACAGTCCTACCTCAGAGAGAAGGTGGGTTTGGGGGTGTAAGAGATCAACCAAAGGACTTGTATGCATGAATATTAGCATAACCAATGGACACGGACACTGGGGCGGTGGGGGCTTGTCCTAGGGGAGGGAGTGACGGGGGGAGGGGTTCAATCGGAAAAAAAGGAGACATATGTAATACTTTAAACCAGGGGTCCTCAAACTTTTTAAACAGGGGGCCAGTTCACTGTCCCTCAGACCATTGGAGGGCCGGACTATAGTTTAAAAAAAAACTATGAACAAATTCCTATGCACACTGCACATATCTTATTTTGAAGTAAAAAAACAAATGTTTTCGGCGGGCCGCATGTGGCCCTTGGGCCGTAGTTTGAGGACCCCTGCTTTAAACAATAAAAAAAAGAAACAATAGGTAAATTTCCCTTTATCCAAATGAAAACTTTGTGCTTCAAAAGATATTGTCAAGAACATGAAAGGACAACCCACAGATTAGGAGTAAATATTTGCAATTCATATATCTGATAAGAGCTTAGTTTCCAAAATATATTTAAAAACTCTTACAAATCAATACAGATAAAAAGGCAAATAACTTACTCTTTAAAAAATGGGCAAAATATTTGAACAGATGTTTCTCCAAAGAAGATAAAGAAATGGTCAATAAGTACATGAAAAAATGCTCAACATCATAAGTCATTAATAAAATGCAAATGAGAATCACAATGAGAAATTTCTTATCCACTTAAGATGGCTACAATAAAAAATGGACAAGTGGTAGTGAGGATATAAAAAAATTGGAACCCTCATGTGCTGCTTTGGAGAATGTGAAATGGTGAAACTACTTTGAAAAATAGCTTGACAGTGTCTCAAAGTATTCTACAGCAGTCCCCACTTATTCTGGGTTTCACTTTCCATGGTTTCAGTTACCCATGCTCAAACATCGTCTGAAAATATTAAATGGAAAATCAAAGTAATAAACAA